AAGTACCTATTAATAAATTTAAATGTAAATGCCTTAAATGCTCCAATCAAAAGACATAGGGTAGTTGAATGGATAAGAAAAAATGACCCATATATATGCTGTCTATAAGAGACCCACCTCAGAATAAAAGACTCACACAGGATCAAAGTAAAGGATGAAAAAAATTTTTCCATGCAAATGGAAACAAAAAAAAGGTATGGTGTAGCAATACTCATATCACATAAGATAAACTTCAAAATGAAGGGCATTACAAGAGACAAAAAAGGTTACTACATAATATTAAAGACATTGGTGCAACAAGAGGATATAACCCTGGTAAACATATATGCACCCAATATATAAGCACTAAAATATTTTAAAACTACATAGCACTACAGGCCTACCTTCTGGAGGACTTCAAGGGAGAGACCAACAGCAATACAATCATAGGGGATTTTAACATCCCACTAACATCACTGGATAGATCTTCCAAACAAAAAATTAACAAGGAAACAGAGACCCTAAACGATGCACTAGGTCATCTGGATTTAATTCCTATTTATAGATCATTTCACTCCAAAGCTGCAGAATTCACATTCTTCTCAAGTGCACATGGGACATTATTAAAGATAGGGCACATGTTAGAATACAAACTAAGTCTCTACAAGTTTAAGAAGACTGAAATCGTATCAAGCATCTTCTCAGATCACAGTGGCATAAAACTAGAAATGAATTACAAAAAAAACACTTAAGGCCTTGGCCAGTTTGGCTCAGTGGTTAGAGTGTAGGCCTGTGGACCAATGAGTCGTGGATTCAATTCCAGTCAAGGGCACATACCTCGGTTGCAGTTTGTCTTTGGCCCTTGTCAGGTCAGGCAGGAGGCTCTATCACACTGATGTTTCTCTGTGACTCTCTCTCCCTCCCTCCCACTCTATCTGATGATAAATAGAAAAATATTCTTGGATGAGAAATAAAAAACAAAAAAAAACCACTTAAAGACATTGAAACACATGGAGGCTAAACAGCCTGTTATTAAACAATGAATGGGTTACTAATGAGATCAAGAAAGAAACAAAAAATGTCTAGCAAACCAATGAAAATGAACACAAAATGTATGGGACAGAGCAAAAGCAGTCCAGAAAGGAAAGTTCATAGCACTACAGGCCTATCTCAAGAAACAAGAAACATTTCTAATAAAATATCTAATCCTACAACTTAGAGAATTAGAAAGAGAACAACAACAACAACAACAACACAACTCTCCAGAGTTAGTAGGAAAAAATGAAATAATAAAGATTAGAATGGAAATAAATGACACAGAGATTTAAAAAAAAATACAAAAGATTAATGAAACCAAGAGCTGGTTCTTTGAAAATATAAACAAGATTGATCAACCTTTAGCCAGTCTCACCAAGAAACAAAGAGAGAGGACCCAAGTTAATAAACAAAAGAGATGAAGTAACAACTGACACCACAGAAATACAAAGATTTGTAAGAAAATACTATGAACATTTATATGCCAACAAATTGAACAACCTAGATGAAATTGATAAATTCCTAGAATCATACAGTCTTCCAAAACTCAACCAGAAAGAGTCAGAAAACCTGAACAGACCAATAATAGCTAAGGAAATAGAAGTAGTAATCAATAATCTCTCAGTAAACAAAAGCTCAGGTCCTGACGGCTTCTCAGTGGAGTTTTACCAAACATTCAAAGAAGAGCTAACACCTATTCTCCTCAAACCAAAAAAAATTCAAGAGGAAGAAAGATTTCCAAAGTCTTTTTATGAGGCCAGCATTATCCTAATCCCAAAACCAGACAGAGACACTCAAAGAGCTGTGGCCATTTTGCCCAGTGGTTAGAGTGTCGGCCCGTGAACCAATGAGACCTGGGTTCGATTCCAGCCAAGAGCATGTACCTTGGTTGTCGTTCATCCCTGGCCCTTGTTGGGGTTGTGTGGGAGGCAACCAGTCGATGTGTCTCTCTCACATCGATGTTTCTCTCTCTCTTTCTCTTTCCCCCCCCCCCCCACTCCTAATTTGTCTAAAGATAGATGGAAAAATATCCTCGGGTGAGGATAAAAAAAAAACCACACACACAAAAAGACACTCCAAAGAAAGAAAATTACAGACCAATACCCATGATGAACTTAGATGCCAAAATCCTCAAAAAATTATTAGCCAATAGGGTCCAGCAATGTATTTAAAATATTATACACCACAACCAAGTGGGATATATCATAGGGATGCAATACTGGTACAGTATTTGCAAATCAATAAACGTGATAAACTACATAAACAAAATGAAAGATAAAAATCATATGACCACATCAATAGATGCTAAAAAAGTACTTGACAAAATCTAGCACCCATTTTTGATAAAAACTCTCAGCAAAGTGGGAATAGAAGGATCATAGCTCAACATAATAAAGGCCATATATGACAAACCTACAGTCAACATTATATTCAATGGGCAAAAACTAAAAGCATTTCCCGTAAGAACAGGAACAAGACAGGGATGTCTGTTTTCACCATTCTTATTCAAGATAGTACTGGAAGTCTTAGCCACAGAAATCACACAAGAAGCAAAAATAAAAGGGATCCAAATTGGAAAGGAGGAAGTGAAACTGTCATTATTCACAGATGACACGATATTGTACATAGACAACCCTAAAGCCTCCACTATGAAACTACTAGATTTAATAAATGAATTCAACAAAGTAGCAGGATACAAAATTAACATCCAGAAATTACTGGCATTTTTCTATACCAATAATGAACACACAGAAAGAGAAACTAAAAAAAAAAAAAAAAAAAAAAAAATCCCTTTTACCATTACAACAAAAAAAATTAAGATAGCTAGGAATAAACATAATCAAGGAGGTAAAAAACCTGTTCTCAGAAAACTACAGGATAATGAAAAACAAAATATAGGAAGATATAAAAAAGTGGAAGCGTATACCATGTTCATGGATTGGAATAATCAACATCATTAAAATGTGCATACTACACAAAGCAATCTATAGATTCAATGCAATCCCTATTAAAATACCAATGGCATACTTCACAGATCTAGAACAAATGCTTAAAAAGTTTATATGGAACCAAAAAAGACCCCAAATAGCCCCAGCAATCCTGAAAAAGAAGAACAACGTTGGAGGGATCAAAATACCAAATATCAGGTTATACTACAAAACCATAGTAGTAATAAAAACAGCCTCATACTGGTATAAGAACAGGCATATAAATCAATGGAACAGAAAAGAGAACCCATAAATTGATCCAAGCCATGCTCAATTATTATCTGACAAAGGTGGCAAGAGCATACAATGCAGTAAAGATAACCTCTTTAATAAATGGTGTTGGAAAAACTGGACAGCTATATGCAAAAAAAAATAAAAATAAAAAAATGAAACTAGATCATGAACTTATACCATACACAAGAATAAACTCAAAATGGATAAAAGACTTAAATGTGACTTGTGAATCCATAAAACTCCTAGAAGAAAATGTAGGAAACAAATTTCAGACATCACATGCACCAGAATTTTCACTGATACAAGATGTAAGGCAAGAGATACAAAGGAAAAAGTGAACACATGTGACTACATCAAACTAAAAAGCTTCTGCACAGCAAAAGGAACACAGTGGAAAAGGAACCCACTATATGGAAGAGCATAATTGCCAACAATACATCAGATAAGGGGTTAATTTCAAAAAAAAAAAATAGAGTACTCATACAACTCAACAAAAAAAAGACAAAAAACCCAATTTACAAATGGGCAAAGGACTTAAATAGACACCTCTCTAAACACCAAGAGACATATAAAAAAATGCTCAATGTCACTAATCATCAGAGAGATGCAAATTAAAATGACTAGGAGGTATCACCTCATACCTGCCAGAATGGCTGCCATCAACAAATCATCAAACAACAAGTGCTGGTGAGGATGTGGAGAAAAGAGGACTCTAGTACACTGCTAGTGGGAATGCAGACTGCTGCAGCCACCATGGAAATCAATTTGGTGTTTCCTCAAAAAATTAAGAATTGAACTGCCATTTGACCAAGTGATCTCACTTCTAGGAATATATCCTAAGAAGCCGGAAACACCAATCAGAAAGAATATATGTACCCCTATGTTCATAGCAGCACTATTTACAGTTGTTAAAACAGCCCAAGTATCCATCAATAGATGAGTGGATAAAAAAGCCATGGTACATATACACAATGGAATACTATGAAGAAAGATCTCTTATCCTTTGAGAGGACATGAAGGGACATAGAGAGTATTATACTAAGTGAAATAAGCCAATTAGAGAAAGACAAATATCACATGATCTCACTTATATGTGGAGTACGATGAACAAAATAAGCTGACAAATAAAAGAGATCCAGAGAGATGGAAGTAGGAAACCGAATGACAAACCCCAGAGGGAAGCGGATGCGAGGGTGGCAAGAGATAAACTAAAGACCTTATATAAATATATGTATAACCAATGGACACAGACAACAGTTCAGTGAGGCCAGGTGGGCAGGTGACGGGGGGTGGGGGGGTAAGAAGGTGTCAATGGGGGTAAAAAAGACGGAACATCTTGTAATAAAAAAAATAATAGAAAAAAGAAGGTATATAATATTCTAATGGTAATGAACCCTTTGTTTCTAGTTGTTAATGGAAAAACATGAAAATGGTTTTAAAATGTTTAAGGACTACCAAACATAAGGGAGATAGAAACATTAAAAACGTTTTATACCTGTCATGCAGGAAATTAGCAGTGACCGACTTTTCTCAAATTTTTGTCAAGGGAAAGAAAAAACAAAAATGCATGGCTATGAATCTGCCTGAATCAGAAATTTAAGGCCCTGTCTGTAGACATAGCATCATTATTTATAAAAACATTAGAAAGCTATGTAGTCTCTATTGAACAAAGACCACATTATACTTTCATCAGGTGGTACATCAGGTACTGCTGGTTTGTACACTAAGTGTCTCCATGGATCATAAAAGGTTATCTTTACATACCCTCAATGGAGCAACCTTGTCATCCTCGGTCTCTTCTTTTCCAGTGCTACTTTCTTGCAGGCTCTTCTCTCCTGCAATTCCTGACTGAGAGCTAACAAACAACACAATTAGTTTGCACCATCTAGACTTGATTCTCCATGTCTCTGTTCACTGTTGGCACTGGTCAGAATCTGCAAGGCTCTTTTAGGGACATCATTAGGAAAAAGTAAGGAGCAGAGTGGGTTAATTGTAACAATACCCAACTGATGCCATGAATGCTTTCCTGGATGTTTTATCTCACTCGTTTTTAGGTAAGTTGGCAAAATTTCCTCTTTTAAAAAATAATTATTTTCTGAAGTCAAATTTCTCGGTCTATCTTCTAAGAAGAGCAAATTCAGAGATCCTATTTATTTCTTTTCTTCATTGACTCTTAGAATGAGAAGCTATTAGCTATTAAAGAATTAGGAATGACGGTTTGAAAAGGAGGCCAGAATGCACAGGCTTGTTACTCGTAGCTACGCACCTGGGCAGTCCTGAGGAGCTACTACCCTGCCCACTCCGCTCCACTTTCTCGGAGATCTTCTGCAAATCGCGAACTTTGCCATTTCCTTTGAGGCCTGAAGGAGGGCAGCACGTTTCAGGGCAAAAGCCTGGGGGACCAGCCTCCCCGGGGCAGAAGCCCAGCTACTAACCCCACCTCCACCCCCACCTCCATGTTCTCCCACCCGCAGGCCAGTCCCACAGAGCTTACAGTGGGCAGCGAGCCTTCGGCTTGGGCCTGGGGGTGCTTCTGCCATCACCGATGGGCCTAGGTCTGGCGTTGGGGTCAGGTTGAGTCTCTGGCCGGCTCTCTTCTTGCGGGTATAGACCCGTAGCGGCCACATTGCCAATGACCCACAGCCCTCCAGGGCCTCTTGGCGCTCAACCGCCTGTCTTACTGCCTTCCTGAGGAACTAAGCTACTGCTGGAGGGATTCAACGTCCCGAGCAGCCTGCGGAGCGGCCTGAGAGGACTATGAAGTAGAAACGCTAAATGCCTGCAGCACCCACCCCGGCGCCGGACCGCAGCTGCCCGCCTGGCTGCCGCCTTTTTCTCTGCGGAGCTGCGCGGAGGCTTCTGGGAAGACGGAGTAAGATGGCAGCCGCCCGGACCTCCTGCAGGCGCAGAGCTCAGGCCTTTGACGGTGGGTGGCCCGCGTGGCTCCTGGGTCCCTGACGCAGGCTCTCTTGCTCCGTGCTGAAAGGAAGTTTACGGGGAAAACTTTTCCTTCCTCCGGGAGTTTGCGCCATCATGTGCTACTGACGCCTCCGCTGCTCTCCTTATTAACACCGCAGTAAAGCCTTGGCAGTGGAGTTTTAGCTCTATGGGCACAGAGAGCCCAGCGAGTCAGCCTGACTCAGTGCAGGAAGGTCAGAGAGGAACAAAAAGGTTGGGGAGTGCCCTCTTGAATAATAATCTTCTGTCAACTGGGGTGCCGTGGTACTTGAGAGTTTGTTTATACAAGCATTTGAAAATCTTGGGTTCCAGAAGTTTCTTTCCAAGAACAAGCAGAATCTCAGCCTGTGTCAAGGTGGAGAATTCCACAGGGGCACCCTTCCGAGTTCCTGGGGCTCAGCTCTTTTGCTCGGCTCAATTGGAGGAACATTGGAATGACCTCTTCTCTCTCCATACACCCAGGTTGAAACATCTGGCTGCATCTGATAAGAATATTGTGCACATAATAACCATCTTTTTTTTTAAAAAAAGACATTTCACAATATTCAAAAACGCCATTTGTAGAGTTGAAATTACAAAAACAGACTTTTCTGTGGTGCTCCAGTATTGTGTGTGACTATAAACACATATATAGCCATTGTATTTTTATATCACTGAATTTTTTATTTCAAATCTGATTATAGAAAGTCATTTATGACAATCGATTTAATATATAATTAACCCATTAAAATTTCTTCGGAAAGAATAGAGGGTAGTCATTCTTACCTGATTAGATACAGTGCTTTGAGTCATTGAATCAATACTAACTCAGCACCTTACTCTGTGTGAGGCATTGTGGTAGGTCCTGGGGATAGAGGGGAATTAGAAATAGTCCTTCAGTCAAGGATCTCATAGTTTTTTTTGCAGTATAAAGCAATGATCATATTTCGATATCCTTTCTTTAGTTATCCATAATATGCTGGCAGCCAGCCTCTAGTTATAAGCCAGGTCTCCAGGCTCCCCTCTCTCCCTCTCTTAAATGACCCCTGGGTCCTGGGATGCCCTAGGCCTAGAAATGGGAGAAACATTGAAAGAGGAATACACCTTAAAGCAAAGGCTAATCTGCCCTTTGGTGGCTCTATTCCCTAGAACTCTGTCTGACTTAAACTGAATTATATTCACTGAAGTGCCATCAAGTAAAGGTTTAAGGGAGTTAATGGATAGGGTTTCAAAACTGGAAATAGCCTTTGGTATGTTTTCTTGAGCCAAAAGGGTCCTTAAAGATGATCTGGTTGCCTGTCATTATGCAACTGAAGAAACCACAGCCTAGGGCCGCTCATTATGACAGATTGTTGGCATAGGTGGCACGGCTCACCTGGCATCTGGCATGTGCTTATCATGCTCCCATTCCTCCTAACACAAGGGATGGGGGAGCAAGGAAAGGAGCTTGCAGCCCTTGGTAGCAAGGGAAGGAGAAGGGACTACAGACAAACTTGGTTTGTTTACAATTTCACCTAGAGCCATCCTATAAAAGGGGAAGCAAATGTGTCACCTAAAAAAGGCTGAGGTAGGGCAGAGACATCTCAACTCAGTCCCCTCTCTATGTCCCCTCACTCCATGCCCAAATACACAAATGTCAATAGAAGCATTCAGTCATGAACGTTAAATTGAACTTCTGTGTTCCTGTTATCCTGTTCCCATATTTAGACTCCGAATTCTGCTATCAGTGTTTCATTTTAGTCATGTGATGTGTTTGATTAAGTTTGGGACAGTCATGGAAATACTAACTTCCATGGGGGAAAAAACTGTCAGTTTTTTAAAAGATTTCTGAAAAAAGCTTTTTTGAAAACAGCCATTTTGTGGGTTTAGGATTCCCTGGACCCAAGAGGAAATCTTTATGAATCGTGTGTGTGTGTGTGTGTGTGTGTGTGTGTGTGTTTTGATTGACCCACTGAGCAGCTTTGGTTGTGGTACCATCCACAGGCTTTAGGATCCAACTAAAAACCAGTTTATTTATGCTTAGTTGCCAAGAATAGGGGGGGAAAAAATCAGTGTTACATGAGATATACCTTGAGGCATTATAGTCTTAATGCTATGCAACAAATGAAAAATAAAAAAGGACAAGGGTATTTTCATTCAATACTTATCTTGAGTATCCACTATGGTCCAGACTTTCTGCACTGGGGCTACACACTCAAGCAACTCTCAGTGTGAGTGGGAGTGGGGCTGAGGGACAATCAACCAGTCAACCATGAGGCAAGCCTCTCAGAGAAAAGAATACTTGAGCCGAGTTTTGTTTTTTTTTATCCTCACTCGAGGATATTTTTCCATTTTTTTGTACAGATAGAGTGGGAGGGAGAGAGAGGAAGGGAGAGAGAGAGAGAGAGAAACATCGACGTGAAGGGACACATCAAGTGGCTGCCACCCGCACGACCAACCAGGGCCCGGGACAAACTGCAACCGAAGTACATGCCCTTAGCGGAAACCGAACCCGGGTCTCTCCGGACCGCAGGCCGACGCTCTAACCGCTGAGCCAAACTGGTCAGGGCTTGAGCTGAGTTTTAAGAGATGAATGGTAGGAGTACAGATTAAAGGAAAGGGAATTCTACAAAAAGGGTATGTGCCGCATTGGAGGCACAGAAAAACGTGGTGCTTTTAGGTCACTACAAAAAGTAATTGGAATGATTGGAGCCAAGGCTCCATGGGGGAAGGGCAGAAGAAGAGGTTCTGGGCCTTGTGTGCTGAACAAGGGAGTCTGAACTTTATTCTGGAAACTATGGGAAGTCATTGAAGGAATATTAAGCAGGAGAGTGGCATGACCAGATTTCCAATTTAGAAAGGTCACCGTGACTGAAATGTAGATGGTGAAATTTGAGGAAGCTGGGATAGAAACAGAACTAATTAAGAAAGCACTATATTTCAGATAAGAGATGAGAGTGGAGCCAATTACACTAAAAGCTGTGAGAATAGAGAGCAGTGGAGGCTAGCAAATATAGAGAAGGCAGAATCTTCATAATTTAGAATGGCAGATAGTACCATTTTAAGAAAGTGTACCTGTTAACTAAGACATTATGGAAATGTTGTTTATGACCAAATGTTGTTTATGGAAATGTTGTTTATGACCAAATGTTGTTTAGGGCCATCATGATGGAAAATTTGAATACAGTTCTTTGTTGTTTTTTTTTAGTGCCAAAACTTGGGAGTGAACCATATTTGTTCTTTTAAAAGTATAAAAGTGATTTAAATCCAGGACACATTTGGGAGCAGCAAATGTACAAAGCAAAACAGAGTCTCTTGGGGGACCATAAGGCTTTGAAGTTTGGGGAACCTTACAGAGGATGTGGAGTAGGCAGACTAGTGACATGGCTTGATACCATGTTTATCATAAGCAGTATAATTGATGATTATCAAATATACCAACATCATGGGATTATATGATATGAATATATAAAATAGTAATTATAAGCAATTTTGAGAAACAAAAAAATCTTTATTTACAAAAGTTTTCATAAATGCATTTTATATTTGATATGCATGCTATTATAACAAAGCAACTAAAATATAATTATAGTTAAGATCTTTTATGCATATTTAAAAAGTAATATTTTAATCTTTTTTAAAAATTGAAAGTAGAATAAGCAATTCTTCAAAAAATACTCATTTTTCCCCCATGCACTTGTTGCAATGACTTAATAAGGAACATTAAAATAACCAGTCAAATGAATGTTTGAAAGCAACTGTCACCTCATGAAAACCTTTTCAGTTTAGGACCAGGTTTAGAAATGCTTTTATTCCAGGTATTATATATTGCCTCTGGGCGATAACCATTCATGTAGTCTAACTGAAGTCTCTCATATGGGGTTCTGTCCTCACTTGAATGCTAACCCCATTCTTACTGCAGTTAATTGTAGAGTCACAGAAAGGACTGTGCAGCATACTTGAGAGAAAATTCAGACTACCAGGATCGTTTTGTCTTTTCATGTATACGCTTTCTTAAAATAGAAACAAGCAAGAAAATGCAGCAACTTAGCTCAACATATATAGTTTGTCAATTTTATATATGATTATTCATTTTTTTCCTGAGATAATTAAGCAAGTTTGTAAGTAGTCTGTTGTCATGCAAAAATACATTTTTCCATTCTTTACATTCATTTTGTAGTATTTGTATTCTAAATAACTATATCACATTTGTGCTTTATACACTTATAAAATAAAAAATAATTCATTTTCTTTACTGCAGAAAAATAAGATTATTGGTTCTTCAGTGGGTAATACAAGCAAGTTAAGTGCCAACTTCAAGTTGCTAAAACATCACCTGCCTATAAAAATAGTAATGGGCCCTCTCTGTGTGGCTCAATAATTAGAGCATCAACCCTTACACCAAAGGGTCACGGGTTCGATTCCCGGTCACCAACCCCAGTTGGGGCATGTGCAGGAGGCAACCAATTGATGTAATCGATGTGTCTCTGTCATATCAATGTTTCCCTCTCTCTTTCCCCTCCCTCCTTTACCCTCCATTACACTCTTTCTAAAAATCAATGGAAAAAATATCCTCAGTGAGGATTAACAACAAAAAAAATTGCAATGTAAAGTTCTATTTTTTCTCACGCTTGCAGTTTTACCTCAATTAGGAATGCAACATTGACTTGCTCATGTGAGGGAGACATGGTATATTCATTCCTTGGACTCC